AGAAAACCCATAGCCCTGTGAGAAACGCATCCGTCTTCACAGCGTGAGGACTCACGGGTGTTTCCACCCCCAGGTTCCTGGTGCATCGGTACTCGGTGCTCCAGCAGCACGCAGAGGCCAACGGTGTGGATGGTGTGGACGCTCTGGACACAGCCCCCCACACTCACAAGGGAGGCTATCATGACGACTCAGATGAGGTGAGACCCTTTCTTCCGGAGGGGTGGGCGCCAGCACAAAGCAGGAGCGTTTCTTTTCCTGGTCATAATTGAGATCTGACTGAGGCAAAAGAGAGTAAAAGCCAGAAGCAGCAACTTAATGACTGTGAGAGTTGGCCAGCCCAGAAACTAGGTCATAACTTTCAAAATAGGAACTTTTTAGTGTGTAAATAATACGGTCTCTGTTTTTCTTCTCAGGACCTCCTGGAATAGCTCCTCCGAGGAGCTGGGACCGAGGACAGATGATGGAACCGCAGTACCTCTCACACTCCCTGTGGCTCCGACTGGGGGGAATAAATTTCCCATTGCGAGGGACCCAGCTCTGTTTCTGCTGCTTCCACCAAAGCCAAAAGGACCTGCACTAAAGAAATGCGGGGCGGGGAGGGGGGAACCCTAAACGTTCTCACAGTTGGCCCTGAGAAAGGGGGGAGTTTTAAATTCTTTCAGTTTTTATTTCAAATTCTGTCTTTTTGCAAAGTATGGGTTCTTTTGGTTTTGTTTTTGTTTTTTAAGGGAAATGAAATGGAATAGGAAGGGAACGTTTCACTAACCCCACTCTTGCATGTTTTGCATGGCGCCTGCTCCGGGGCACCGGCCAACCCCAGCGTCAACGCTCACAGCGCACTCGGTGCTGTCCCTGTGCTCTGCCGGCGACACAAAGCAGCTGCCGAGAGGGACTTGGCGGCCTTTCTCCAGCCAGGGACAGCCCTGCCCCGAGCACACTGCACACCAGCTCCTCACGCACACCCCGCCTTTTCTTTCTTTCTTTTTTGGGGACCGTAGACCACAGTGGTGTTTCTTTCCCCTTGCTCAGTCAGGCAGTATACCCTTGTTAATTGCCCTTTGGCCACTGACTTAACCATGTGCTTCCAAAACACTAAATCAGGAAAATTTAAAGGGCAATATTTTAACTTGGGGCCGGAAGAAGGGAGCAGCAGAGAATTGACTAGATTTAGCACCTATTAAGGGACAAACTCTTGCTTCTCCCAAGATCTTTCCAGCCGTGCTCCATGTTTGTGCCAGTGGCCTTGCTCAAGGACAGGGTTAGGGCCTGCCCCGATGTCTGCCCAGACCGAGTGGCCTCTTTGCGAGAGCCGAGCAAGGGCGCCCGGTGTGGCCCCTGTGGACTGAGCATCACAGTCTTCCATGTCCTCTGCCACGAATCATGAGGATGGCCATTTACTTGCGTGCCTCCTCTTGGATTGCTGTTGTACGTGGAGCCAGGACTCGACACGTTTTCAGATTTATAGGCTATTTTTTAAAAATCAGGACTTTATGACCAGGCTCTCCTCCTCACCCAGCTTTCCCAGCTTTGCCAAGGAATCTGTTGGCGAGAAACTTGCGGCCGAACCAATTGAAGACACGCTTCCAGCATAGGTGATGTTTTATGTGATCCATTAGGTTCATATTTTAAATTTAAGGACACTTTCCATTTGACACTTTTCAAGTTAAATTGATAGTAGAATGTAGGGAGGTGGATTTGGAGATGGCCAGGTAGCAACGGCAAGCGGCACTAATTTTCATACAGCTTGGATGCCTGCTCGCCTGCAATATAGCGTGGTACAGCTTGGTCTTAGCATCCCTACAGTGCTGGCCGCAGTCTCTCCCAGTAATTATGATTGGGACATTCTTTGGTAACTGCCATTTTGCTGCTAGTTCATTTTATGGCTATAAAGTCACGAAAAAGTAAATGTGCCAAATTAACTTTTGTCAGAATGAGTGAGCAGATGGTCGTGTTCTCTCCTCCCCAGAATGGATTAACAGCAGCCGGGAGAGTGGGAGAGGGGGCGGATGGAGAAGGTTAGAGACTTTGAAGCTGCAGCAAAATTACATGAGTCAGGGAGCCCTAGTTAGAAAATAAAGTTAGGGCAGTTTTTGTGAAGAGAATTCACATTTGCTTGAGCTAGAGAACACTGATCTTTTAGGAAAAGCTCATTCATTTTGCATAATCTTTAAATTAAAAAGAATTCCGAAGACAGACCAGCTCACAACTGATAAAGTGTCAGCCTTTATCCCAGACCTCTCACCTCCTGCCCAAAGTGAATTCGATGCCCAGAAAAGACCCACTTTTGCTGCACACCTTTTCCCCACAGCACATACCCGCTGGGGTACATGTGCTAGTATGCGGCAATTCTGACTCGTGTTAGGATGTAGGAAAGTTAGTATTCTCTAACCAAGTGTGGTTAAAGCTCTTTGCTCATAATGGTATCTGGGATTTCTGTAAAACCTGGTAGTTTTCAGAGGACTTGGGTTTGCATTATGTCATTTTTACCTTACCACATTCTCAATGAAATTCTTCCTTTGAAGGCGGGGGTTTGTAATTCGCATTTTTTAGGAGATGGAGCTGAGATACAAAGAGTGAGTAAATTGTCCAGGGCCCCTATGTGTGTTATGAGCTGTGCTGGTTGGCCGTCTTCAGAGCTCGCAAACTTGCTGTGTGTGCAGGTGCTGGAGCAGGAAGGGCTTCCTTCTTACGGATGACTCGCTGTTCTTTAGGAGAAGGGTCAGTGACACTTCTGTCAGAGCAGCACCTGGGACCTTTTTGCCACCTTGGTGAACAGCAAATTATATTCTTCTGTTTTCCACGGCTGGAAACAAATATTAATGGGAATTTTGAATATGTATTCAGAAACTGCCGCTCCCCTCGCTGCGGAAGTAGGCTCCCCCTCGACGAGCCGCCCCGCTCCATTCTCCATTCTCCTTGTTTGCTTGGCCCTGGCCAGCTGGCCGGCTCCCTTAGTCGGAGGACTGCTAACAAGCCTGGCTCATTCCCTTCCTTGGCTAGGTGGCTTTCCATATCGGCCCACTCACTCACAGATGTATGCCCTCAGCCAGAAAGCGTAACAGCCTAAGTCTGTGACAGCTTTTAAGGGAAAACGTGTTCTAATTTGTTCTGCTGATGTTAGGTTAGGAGCATTATCTTTGCAATAAAGTATAGCTTACCATTGCATAAAATCCCAGGCGTGATGGTGGCAGGAGAGATTATTGCTGGAGGTTTTGGTGATAGAACTTAGCATTGTAAGGTAAGTTGGACATATCCGACTGTCCAGATTGGTCTGGGCTTTTAAGTCCAGGTGGAGAACTCACCATCCCTCACCTGTGACAGGTGTCTTGGACCCCGGGGTGGGGAGGGGTCTTGGTTTTTAGTGGGTCCAGAGACTGGGAATGCATACCCCTAGGCTGGTCATTGAATGGGAAGACCACGTAGAAGAATAAAAAGTGTTCGGAGGGTTCTGGCAGTTCTAAGCTGGACTTGGAGATTCAAGAGATTAGCTATACCTGAAGTTGAGAACTTGCCATCTGCCTCTAACTAGGCTTTCCAGTGTGTACCTCTCTAATTCCTAGGTTTGCCTCTGGGCCTCGACGTGCCCCAGCTGGCCTTTCATCCCTGACAGATGAGTCACGTACTGGCCACCCCTAGCTCCTGCACTGGCTCTGTGAACCACAGCCGGTTCTCCCATGGCCTTGGCCACAATGCCAGGATACAGAGAGGGCTGGCTGGAACTTCACTCGGTTCTCTATTTCCTAGGCAAATCATCCAAGTAGAGAGGTTCTCTTTCCCTTCAGGAGAGCTGTAAAGAACCTACTTCTGTACACAGTGGCTTAGAGCCCATCCTGCTCATTGTTAGTACATCCCCCTCACCCTTCACCCTGGATTCTTGCAACTACTAAAATAAGAGAGTCAGCTTTTCAACTTCACTACTGCCTTGCCTGAAGCAGGGAAATAAACATGGACTTAAATGTCCTTTGAACAAAACCAAAGTGTAAGACTTGCCACATGACGGCGTGATAGGCAGGGCCAGACTGGCTGGCACTCAGCAGGTGCCGGACCTTCTCTTTCCTCTGCTGCCGGTTTGCCCAGCAGCTCTGGAAGCTTCATCCTGCCCGAGCAGAGCCCGGGCCTTGCCCTCAGGAAGGATAATTGAAATAGCAGGACCATGTTGATTCCTTGGTTATGTCGCGTTGTAACAATAAGAATCAGAACATTGATTTGAAACCGTCTTCAACAACTTGCTGTATGCATTTTTTTCACACCAGTACATTCTTAAGCATTCTTGTTTATATAGGATAACATAAACTAACCTGTACCTTTATATATATATGTACATATATACATATATAAACTGTATAGTGTACATGTTAATGATTTATCAATATGTCCCAAATCCTTCACGCCATTCTCATCCTCCGCATGCCCTCAGTTTGTGGTCGGGTGACTTGAATGTTCCCCGATGATCCTACCCACCTCCCGTGTTTGGACGTCTAGGGAAGGAGGGTTTTGATCGTACCCTCCTTATCCTCATGCACAGAAATGCTCAGGGTCCCCATGTGCCTGTTGTTCATCCCTCTCTCGTCTCCTGTCCCCTTTCTGAGCATGTGGTCCCTCCCTGTCGTATAACTTCTCTGCCCCTTCCCCAAGCTGTGGGACAGCTGCCTTCTTCCTAAAGTGTAAAGCAGTATTAACATCATTACTGCATGTGCGCTACAAACCCAAGTTTTCTGTTCCCTTGGGACAGAAAACTGCATGTGGGGTGGGATAATCAAGTTTCAATGACCCATGTCAGTTACACAACAAAAGCCAGACCCCATAACAAAATTCCACAAAACGGAAATCAAACTCAAATTTCTTTAGCATTGTGTAAATAAATCTGGATGTGTTTAACTTTGTACTGGTAATTTTCTGTATATTTGCAATATTGGGGTTAGAAATAAAACAGACTGGACTTTGTTACCTGACCTATTGAAATGACTAAGCTAGAATTTGTTCATCTGTACGGTTTGTTAATATGATAGATTTTCTAGTTTTCTAGCCTCAGAAATCCAACTCCAGCCGCCAGAGAATAAGCCAGTAAAAGAGCCAGGACTCTGCATTTGTTGCATGAGAGGTATTAGGTAAGTTGTGGGGGATTACTTAGTTCTGTCTTGTTCTTTACGCTCCTAAGAGTCTACCTCCCATGGATATTTGTGGGACCGGCTTCCTCTTTCTTGCACCTCCCACACCCTTTCAGGGTACACTGCTACACTCTTCCTTCTGAACACAGCAGTGTAGAATGACTCTCCTGAGTTAGGTGTTCCTTCAGGCCGGTGGGACAGGTGATAACCTGGCCTCTCTCAGATCTCTCCTGCCGCTCTCACTCCTAGTCCTGCCTGATCCTTTTCATTTAAGGACATTCAAAGAGCTGCTGCTTTCCTCTCTCCCAAAACTTGTCTCTCAGGAGAGGTCCCTCCCCAACCGCCTTGCACCTTTAGCTAGGCCTTGAAGATTGCTTCTCAGCCTGCCATCCTGGGTGACATTACCAATGAATACCTACTCTGACATCATGATCTGAAGCTGACGAGGCAAAAAGAGTTTGCTCCTAAGGAGCCCCGCCACCCGGCGGAAGAGTTCCTCCCCTAGGAGATTATGTGTAGCATTTTATTTTCAGGAAGTCTGTCTAAGGTAGTGTCCTAAGACTTGCTGCTCCAGAGTCACTAAGGTTGCCTTTCCCACTGCAGATTCCTGGACCCCACCCTGATCCATTAAATTAGACTTCGTCATGGACAGACCTTAAGAGTCTGCATTTTTAACTTGATTCTTTACATGTCTATCGCAATAAAGGGCTTAGACTGAAAGCCTAGGCCAGTTTCACCAGTGGGTAGATTAAGTAGGTGGAAAAGGGGGCTTTGGAGTCTCCTGGTGTTGGAACTCTGTACTTAGAAGGGCTCCGATGAGAAATCTGGCAGCCGCTTTCACACTAGTCCCGATGCGGCACCAAGTGCAGCCCTGGAGGTCCAGCTGCATAGCCCCCTCGTCAGCCGTCGCAGCTCCTGATAAATAGGTTCCTGGGCCAGATGTGTGCCTACTGGCTGTCCTGGCCCTCAGCCCCTATACAAGTTGCAAAGAGGAGCTTCCACACCCCACTGTAGCACAGGCTCCCAGGATCCTATTGACTCTGTCTCCAAATTGAGGGCTAGAGGGGAAAAATGAGTAAGGAGCTCATCCATTCAACCATACTCCTTTTTTTCCATAAATAGATTGTGGAAAGGAGGAGGAGGTATATAGGAACTCTGTACTTTCTACTCAACTTTGCTGTGAACCTAAAGCTGCTCTAAAAATAAAGTCTTTACACACACACACACACACACACAATGCTGGTTTCTGGAGCAAAGAAAGTGAGGGTATGATAGAAAAACATTTGGATGCAGTGTGAATGATGGCTTGGTAAATCCTATAGGACCTTTAGTATGTAACTAACGCTTCCTACGCTTTGGCCATTTCCTTCTACTGTTAGCATTTTATCCTCAACACAGTCACGGCATCATCATCCCCAGCTTCAGATCCCTGAGGTTCAGACTCAGTGATTTGCCCGGGGTCACCTAGCAAACGAGTGAGTAGCCCGGCCAGAAGTCACACACACGTCCTCTGACCTCATGCCCCTGGCTCCCTCCACCACTGCTGCCTCTCACTTTACTGGTACTTTATCTCAGAGGCAAGAGAGCTCTCAGAGGGCCACATGCCGGCCCGACCTAAAAATAGCTCACATTTATCAAGCACTTAGCTCTACTCTGCTAAACACTTTACACAGATTACCTCTTCTAATCCTCACAACCACCCTATGGGCATTACCGTCTCCATTTTACAGATGAGAAAACAGACCTGAGAGAGATTGTGATGTGTGGCAAGTCACACAAGCTAGTTGGTGACGGAGCCAAAAGTGAGGGCAGACTCTACCTTCCACTGCCACTAGGGGGTAAGCTGAGGGGATGGGGACAAACCCTGAAAAGGGCAAGTTGACCAGACTTTACAACTCCCTGAACATGGCACAGAAGGAGAAGAAGCCATTAAAGGTGTGTGTGAGAACCGCAAAGCTGGGGGCCCCATTGTCTGATCTGTGTGTGCAGCCAGGGGAGCCGTTTGAAGCTCAAACCTCCCCACCTCCCCAGGGCTGTGTGAGGGGTGTCGCCTCTCTCCCAGGATACAACAGGGCCACCTCAGTCCTCCCATGGCTATTCTGGGCTGCTGTCTGATCTGCCTCTCTTCCCCAGCCCCTACAGCCCTTCTGCTGGGAGTAGCCTGGTGGGAAAAGGCCAGGCCAGTTACATAAGCCCGTGGCTGGGACCCCGGAGGCCAGGCTGGAGAGCAGGTGCTTAGCCCCTCCCTCACCACCAACAGTGAAAATCTCCCGCTGGAGCCCAGCCTCCGGGCCACCCAGCATGGAGGCAGCCACAGCTCCGGAGGTGGCCTCGGGATACACACTGAAGGGGAAAGAAGCGAGCCCAGCGGATGCTGAAGGACTTCCAGCTTCACCTGGACAGGAGGCCAGCAGCCCCGTTCCCCAGCTCCTGGCCCTTGTAGAAGGTGACCCATGGGGTTGGGAAGGGTGGGGCGGCTGGGCGGTAGGAGTTGAGGAAGATACCCCTCAGCCCCCGACTGCACCTCCTCAGGCGTGTGCAGAGGGTAACCTCACGGGACCAGTGTCTAGGAGGGGGGAGCATTCGTCACAGCCCCCACCTCCTTGGTGGCTTCTTACCTGCTGCTCAAGCGTCTCTGCTGGGTTTGTGCTTTTTAGCTGAGAAGTCAGGGGATGGTGTATGCGGCACTTTCCAGTGACTAAAAGTGATCTGTTTAAATTTTTACCTTTCATCAAATGTCTGTCCCAGGGACTGAGGACCTGATATACTAATGGCAGCCAGGAGGGGAATGAGGGGTGAGATGGTGGCCATCTGGCTCAGAAGAAGGGAATGAAAAGCTTATAGCAACTGACAGGCTGGTGGTGAACAGTCCGTGACACTCTGCGTCTCCCTTGGTGGTGCCACAGGTCCAGGACCTACCTATCCCGGCAGCCTCTCCGGGTGTGAGCTCCGTGGAGGCAGAGTCTGTCCAGGGGAAGCAGTTGGCCTCCCTTCCACAGTGGCCTCTCTGAGCCTCTAAGCAAAGAGGCACTTTTGTGCCAGGAGGTGGTGGGCGCCCCTTCCAGTCCCAGGTCCCCTGCCAGCAGCCCAGCCACCCACTCCCCAGCTGCCCCTGGCTGAGGCCTCTGTCATGTTCACCTGGGGTGTCGCCCACGGTGCCTGGCTCGGCCAACCAGAGGTAGAAGGCATGAGCCAGGCTTTTCCCTTCCCTGTGCAGTACCCGGCAGAAGGAACCACGGGGGTTGCCTCAAACATTTAAGACGGTTACGTGCACAAAGTCCCTGCTTTGGGCCCCTCAATGTCTTAAGTGCAGGGGATGCAAAGACCACAAACAAGAAACCCAGGGACCCCCAAGGTAGGGAGCCGTAGGAGAAGATGATGTGACCTGGACTCAATTCCCAGGCTGCCTCCAGGAGCTTTGTGCCCTTGGACAAGCCAACCAACTGCTCAACCTCCTCTCTGTAAAATGGTAATTACTAGTGTCTACCTAGTAGGCTGGGTGGGAGGATTGCCGAGATGATCCAGAGTGCTTGGGAAGAGGCCGAACAAAGATGAGTAGATGATGAAACGTTTCCAAGTCAGGAGTGAAGACTACGAGTTCTACCTGGAAGCAGGCCTGAGCAGGGAGAGCTGGCTGCCTCTTCTCATCCTCATGGGAGGCGCTGGGTTTTCAGGAGTTGTTTCAATGTCACAGGCAGAGAGCCGGCTGAGTTCACTCCCTTGAAAAAGAAGGAGTTGGGGAGAAGTGGTTGTGAGCACAGTAGGCTGGGGTGACCTTGAGACAGAAAACCATTTCTTCCCATAAAGATCCAAGGAATAAGCAACAGGCAGAACGAGAGTCAGTACTGCTGACTCCCACCTCGGCTGGTCTCCATAAGACCCTGGGGGAGGGCATCTGTCTCTGCCACGCTGCTCCCTCTGGCTGCGAGTGGGCGCTGTGGGCCATCGGCTCCTGACAGCACACCCCCCCCAGCTCCCACAAGTGCAGCCTCACAGCCACCAGTATCGGCAGCCCCACTGATTAGCACCCCGGAGGTCAGTGACGATAAGCACTGTTTGTGATACTTTGCAAAATACGTTTGCCTCTGTTATCCGCTTAGAGATGACGGGAGTTGAAATCCTAGCTCTGATTTGTGACCCTAGGCAAGTCATTGCACCTCTCTGGGCTTCCATTTTCTCATCTGTAAATTGAAGGATAACTTTTTGATGGCTGTGGATCCCTAGGAAAAGCTGATGAAGTCTGTAAAATCTTATCCCAGGAAAAATGCTCAAAAAAGTTCAGGGGGCTCACAGAACCCCTGAAGCCCGTTCAAAGGTCCTTCAGGGTGCCATGGACCCAGCCTAGATGGCTCCTACGTTCCCGTGAGCTCTGAGGCCCTTTTCTTCCTCTTACCCCCTCCTGTACCTCATGGGGAGCCCAGCCAGACCCGGAGGAGCCCTGCAGTGCGCGTCTGTGTGCATGGGAAACAGAGCAGGCGCCAGAGGCAGATGTTCATTTGCAACATCAAAATAACTAGCAACTGGCCACCATGGAGCTTTTAGTCAGGAAAGCCTGCTACGTGGGCTACTCAGTGAGCAGACAAAGGTGGCCAGCACTGGGAGACAACTTTTGGCCTCCCCTCAGCCCCGCACGGAGGCACTGGGGTGGGAGGCTGGGGGACAGGCTTGACCCCTGCCACAGAGAAGAGGAGACCCTGAGACCCAGAGGCAGGGCCCAGCTGCTGATTTCAGAGTAACTGCATCTCTTTTCAATCCAAACTCTTCCGTGTCTTCTGGCCTTGGGAAGCTGGAGCCCGTGCCTGGGAGCAACCCCCCTCCTTTCCTTGTCCCTTCTTCCTCCTTTCCTCCCTCCTTCCCTTTCTATCTTATTTCTTCCTTCTGCAGGTATTTGTTTTATGCCTGTTATGTGTCAGGCACTGCTTCAGAAATAAACAAAAATAGGCAAAAATAACTCCCCTTGTGGAGATTACATCGTAGTGTAAGGAGATAGACGATAAATAAATAAAATATGGAATATGGCAGATGTAATCAATGCCATGCCGAAAAATGAAGCAGAGAGGGAGGACAGAAAATGCTGGGAGTGGGAGACACATCTGCAGTTTTAAATGGGATATTCAGCAAAGGTCCCGTTAATTAGGTGCTATCTGAGCAGCAACTGAAAGGAGATGAGAGTACAGTACATGCAGATACGATACTTGGAGGGAATGTTTCCCATACAGAGAGAACAGTCAGCGCAAAGGCCCTGAGGCAGGAGTGTGCCTTATGGATTGGGGCCACCCAGCCCGTTGCAGCGTGAGGGAGAGAAAGGTAGGTTTGCCGGCAGAAAGGTAGCAGGACCCTGTGAAGGCTGGTTCAACTCTGAGATTGATGGGCGACCTAGGTAGAGTTGTAAGTGAAAACTGACATGATCAGGTATAGGTTTTAAGGATTTTTCTAGCCGCTGAGCTAAGAATAGGCTGGAGGCAGTCCAGGGACACTAGCAAGAACATCAACTGAGGATGAGGGTGAGGGAGAGGGTATGGAGGCTTTAGAAGAAGGAGTGTGCAATAGTCACCCAGGAGAATAGGTCACTGCTAGTGGCATCAGCTTACCATCAGCCTGGCTTGTGCTTTGCCCCAGCATGCAGATGTGGGCACCGAGTGGGTGGGAAGCATGTCACTGGGGTTGGCCATTGCCAGGAAGGAGAGTGTAGTGGAGAAAAAGAGGATTAGGGATTTGAGTGGGGACACAGGGAGGGAGTGTAACGATTGGAATCTAAGGTGGGAAGGAAAGAGAGTGGTAACAGCGAGGGTGACAGGGAGTGAAGGGTTTGGAGGGCCGTGGGTCAGAAGTCTCAGTGGTGCCGAAGGATCGATCGCTGGTGCTGGAGCAGCAGAGGGGGACTGGCCCTAGGGGCAGAGACTGCACTTGTAGGGGTTTGCCGCTTGATGTAACAAATCGGCCTCAGAAGGCTCCAAAACAATAGATGTTTATTTCTATGGAAAAGTTTCTATTTCTACTTATATCTATTAAAAGTCGTTCTCGGTGCGATGATTCCAGGCCCCAAACCTCTTCCGTCTTGTGGGTCCACCATGCCTCAGGGGCCCGTACCCAGCCGTGTGAATGCAGCCAGCAGAAGATGGTATACAGAACCCATTTTTAAAAAATTTCTTGAAATACTTTGTATTTATTTTTGAGAGTCAGAGAGAGCGCATGCGATCAGGGGAGGGTCAGAGAGAGAGGGAGACACAGGATCTGAAACGGGCTCCAGGCTCTAAGCTGGCTGTCAGCACAGAGCCCGATGCGGGGCTCGAACCCACGAACCGTGAGATCACGACCTGAGCTGAAGTCGGACGCTCAACCAACTGAGCCCCCCAGGCACCGCTAGAGAACCCATTTCTTAAAAGCCGTGGCTCGGAAGTGATTCTCATCATTTCCACTTGCACTGCTCCAGCAAGAGCTAGTCTGATGGTCCTATAGTGAGCCTTCCCAGAAGTGCCTTCCCAGAAGGCACTACCCTGTGGAAGAGACAGCATGCATTTAGGCAGGCAGTGGGCCACGGCTGTCGTAGAGGTGACGAGAGAGCGAGGCACTTGAAATTCAGATTACAGAGGCTGCAGTGACTCGGCTAGAAAATGACGAAAGGAATCAGGGGCTGGAGCCAGAGAGGACGACGCTGCTGGGGGAGGGGTGGGCACAGATGTGAGGGACCCTGCAAGGACTGGAAGGGGGGGTGTTGCGATCACAAGGACCCAGGACTGGAGCTGTGCTGGAGAGAGCGGCCACGAGCCGGGTGGCGGCCGTCAGCATGAGGGAGGACCACCCCGAGCTGGGGGTCAGATCTTCTCCGACAGCAGTTGCCTGTTTCTCTGTCCTTCTGTTTTCTTCCTGACCTTAGTTTCACAGTCCTCGAGGAGATGACACTCCTGTCCTTCACAAGGTACTTCGGAGGTCGCCCTTCCTGTGACCTCCTCTGGACAAGTTTCTGATAAGGCCGCGACCACAGCCTATTTCAAAGCCATAGCCCGCCTTGTGCGTTTGCCCTGCACGGGCAGCCATTCACTCACACAGGCCCCTGGGCACACACACATGTGCACAGTCTCACTTACACACCCTCTGTCTCACACACACACGTGCGCACGCACACAGCTCCCTCCCTCCTTTCCGTGTGTCTGTCTTGTTCCTTCACTCTCCATGCCATAAATAAGAACATCAGTGTGCACTACATGGTACTTAAGGAAGTGCTGGAGGACAGGCTTTAACCGTGTGAAGAGAAATTTTGAGAGAATAGGAACATCTATCTCCCCACGAGCATAGAATAAGGAAATGGGCATAAACTTGAGCAGAATGAAATTAGGGGAGAATTAAGAGGACATTTCTAATCAAGAGGAGTCAAGATCTTTGGACTTTAAGTAGTCTCCTCTGTCCATTTGAAAGAAAGAATTAGCATTCTGTCTGAGGGAAAGACAGCTATCACAGGTCAGAGGCCAATGTTCCTCAAAGGACTTTTCAAAATGCCTTTTCCCCCAGACTCCACGAAGGGAGAAAACCAACTTGTGGCTGTGTCAAACTTGGTCTTAGAAAACCTAGGTTGTGGGGCACCTGTGTGACTCAGTCAGTTAAGCGTCCGACTTCAGCTCAGGTCATGATCTCATAGTTCATGAGTTTGAGCCCCGCGTGGGTACTGTGCTGACAGCTCAGAGCCTGGAGCCTGCTTCAGATTCTGTGTCTCCCTCTCTCTCTGTGCGCCTCTCTCGCTCTCTCTCTCAAAAAAAAAAAAAAAAAAAGGAAACCTAGGTTGTGCTTTAGGGCTCTAGTCTTTGGCTCACATCCCTCCTGGCATCTGGGGAGAAGAAAGACCTTGAGCTTCAGGGAAAAGCCACGTTTCCCCAAGGTCAGTACAATTAACACCTCTCTTGACTGCAGAGGTGTGAAAAGAGATGCCCCAAATGAGCCCTCCGATTAACATTCTTAGCAAAGGGTGAGGGAAAGAGTGTGCTGCTGCCTGGGCACGCGCAGCTGCCACACTTTCTCCTGCCCCCCACCCCCGCCGTGTGTCAGCTGCCTGGGCTCAAGCCCAGTCTTCTTTCCCCCCACTGGGGTCTGGGAGCCCGCTGAGAGCAGAATCCTCACCTACTCACCCTCAGACTCAGAACACTCTACCAACTTCACTTTGTCCCCTATCAATTCATCGCCTTGTTAGGGGACCCCACTTACAAAGAACTGGTACCAACCCCACCCCCCCGGAGGAAGAGACTGCCATCCTGGCTGTGGGCTCTTCTCTTCTGTCTCTGCCCCTGCTGGGTCCCTTCTGGACCTCGGGCCCTCCTGCTCATCATGTCTGAATACCACCATCTTTTTCTTTTTTTTTAATGTTTATTTATTTTTGAGAGAGAGAGGCAGACTGCAAGCGGGGAAGGGTCAGAGAGAGAGGGAGATACAGAATCTGAAGCAGGCTCCAGGCTCCGAGTTGTCAGCACAGAGCCTGATGTGGGGCTCAAACCCATAAGCCGTGAGATTATGACCTGGGCTGAAGTTGAATGCTTAACCAACTGAACCACCCACGTGCCCTGAAATTTATTATTTCTTAAAAAAATTTTTTTTAATGATTATTTTTGAGAGAGAGGGAGACTACAAGCTGGGGAGGGGCAGAGAGAGGGAGACACAGAATCTGAAGCAGGCCGCAGGCTCTAAGCTGTCAGCACAGAGCCCGACACGGGGCTCAAACCCATAAGCCAATGAGATCATGACCGAAGTCAGACACTTAACTGACTGAGCCACGCAGGCTCGCCACGAATACTACCATCTTAATTTATGTTCCACATAAAACTATTTCTGTAATTGTTCTCCTTAGTTCAGGTAAAACAATGCTAACATCTTCCCAAGTATTTTTCGTTGTTTTTTTTTTTAATGCTTATTTATTTTTAAGACAGAGACAGAGCACGAGCAGGGGAGGGGCAGAGAGAGAGGGAGACACAGAATCTGAAACAGGCTCCAAGCTCTGAGCTATCAGCACAGAGCCTGACACGGGGCTCTAACCCATGAACCATGAGATCATGACCTGAGCCTAAGTCGGAGGCTTAACCGACTGAGCCACCCAGGTGCCCCTCGAAGTATTTTTCTAAGAAACAAGAGAAACACTAAGTGGGCACAAATAGGTCAGTCGGCATGCACCCATCTATAGAAGCCCCTTCCCCACCTGAGCTCTAAGCAGAGCAGGGCTCAGAGAATACATCTTCGGGGTGTCACGGCCTGAGCTCCTTTCCTCGCCTCCACCTTTTCAATTCTTGCAGATTTTCCTCTGCCTTCTCTTTCTTGCCACCTCCTCCTAAGAGTGAGACCACTGTCAGAGCCCTGACAGGGCGCATAGGCCCAAGTGGACCTCGGAGAGCAGGCAAATGGGCAGATAAGCTGCGATCAGAGAACAGGCCCTTCAGATGCACATTTCTAGATGGGAAGGCAGCACGACTTCACATGTGTGTTTCTGTCTCCGAGCCCTTGCCTGTCATGCAGGCATAGCAGGGAACAGCACAGCCGGCTTCTCTCCAGCCAATGTGAAGGGCTACTTCCTCACCCAACAGTGGGGAATCAAGCCCAACAAGATGATGTTTTGACCCTCCTTTTCAACTGCCACCCTCTTTTTTTCAGAAAACCCTTAAGTCATATCCGCTTGTTCTCAACTCCTTGGTCACTTGCCAAGAGGGCCACAGGAGAGGAACACATCACACAAACGCTTCTTGTGTGTTTCACGCCCCACCCCCTTCCCAACCGCCAAAGTCGAACAGAGGGCAAACAGAGAAGTGTTGCTCAGCTGCCCGGGGCTCCATCGCTGTTGCCTCATTCTTACGGAGGCGCCAGGCCCTGAGCAGAGCAGGCGGGCCAGTGGCTCAGAGCACGGGAGGTCCCGTGTCACTTCGTTCCTGCTTTTGCCAGAGGCAGCAGTGGGTGAGGTGCAGTCTAAGAAGGCACAGCCCAGGGGGAAACATCAGCCACACAGCAACAAAGGAAACCAGATAAACAAAATGGACAGCGTGGGCTGTGTTTATATTTATTTGCAAAGGCGAAAAGTGATCTCGGGGCGGGGACAAGGCAGACCGTGGGAAGGAAGTTCTTGCTGTCTACACAGTGGGCCACAAATTGAGGAAGAACATAGTAGAACCTCTATTTATTTTAAATTTCACCATTCAAAAGTTTGCATTGCATAATGTACATATTTAAACAGTTCAGTTTATAAGTAAAGATGCAGACCACAGACTGGAATGTTCAGGAACATATCGTAGGGAAATGTTATCAGAAAGCTTACAGCCCAGCATCACACAGTTGTGCTGTTTGCCTCGGTCATGAATTGAGTGAAGCTTTTTACGACTCCAGGAAAGAATTGTGCATAGAGGCCGGGGAGGTGGTGAGGACTAAGGCACTGTCACATTCCACTTTGGACAGCAGCAGCAGGTGCCTGTCTCAGCCTGAGGCAGGAGGAGACAGGGGCCCCGAGAAAGCTAGAAAATGGTGCAGTCTCAGCCAACCCCCCCCCCCGCTCCCGCCCCCGAGGGACCCCAGGTGGGATGTTTGCACTTCTCGGCCAAGGCAGCAACCAGAGGCATTTGGAGAGGAGACAGGTCACACCTGATGGTCTTCCAAACCTCACACTCAGCACTTTTCCTGAGCATCCCCCCACCCCCACCCGCCTCCATCCCGGAAGCCAAGGGACATAAACGAATCCCTCTACTCATTGGAACATGCCTGGGAGATCAAGGAGCAGTGAGCGGCGGCCCAGTGTTTCCCAGATTCCCAGAGTCTGTTGGTACAAAGCAATCCTCCAGCAACTGGAAGAGCACTGTGCAGGCATCCAGCATAGCCACGCAGAGGAAGGGACGCAGACACCAGCTCCCCATGCAGTGACGCCAGTGCTGTCCCCGTGGGTCCAGGGTGTTGACTCTGCCTGCAGAGTGGAAAACTTTCTCCTCCAGTCTGGCATCACACTGGGAAGCACGCCTGACTCTTGGAGGTCCAGACTAACGTTGAAAGTGGCTTTGATAAAAGGAGTGCTGTTGAGGACAAATGCAGAAAAGGAGTAGGAAGAAAGGCAAACCACACAGGCTGGACCAGTCCGCGCACAAACAGAAAAATCTCGGTTGATGAAAAGTCAGTAGCTGAGTGTTACAGATTAAAAGAAGGAAGCATCAGGCTCGCATTCCAGTGCTTTCTGACAAGACCTGAATGCTCTCGAGAGGATATTTTAGCTGATCACTCATCCCTAAATTCCAGCAAGACGAAGGGAGCAATCTTCCCACTCCCTAGGTGAGGACTGATTTGCTGAGCACCTGGGCCATCTGCCCATGGAAGCACAGCCAGACGCAGTGTCCACTTCCTCTGAGCTCTGTGCTTCCTACTATAGGAGGCTCACCACCCACTGTTCTCTCTCCTTCCATCACTCAGAGCACCCCAAGATTTGGCTCCCTCGGGCCCTGAGGCAGACCTATATCCGGAAGGTTGGAGACACCGTGAACCTACTAATCCCATTCCAGGTGAGCATGCTGGCCCCGTGCTGAGTCTATGTTGAGTCCGTGCCAGGGTTTTGATTTGGAAATAGATACTAAGAGTTTGGCTAGCAGTCAGGCAGTCGTCCTGGCCTAGAGTGGACGGGGCCGTGTCACCAGCAGCCTGAGGCAGAGTGACTCTCCCAACTGCACTGCTGAGGGGGAGGTTGGGTCGGGCATGCCCCATGCGATGACCTGAAGCTAACCTCTGCCGTTTGGTCAGCAGAGGTCTGGGAGCTCTCGGTTTGGGTTCTGGGTAGTTTAGACAGCTATCGTTAGCGCCAGCTGCCTCCAGTGATCTAAACTCTCAGAGGGCGGGAGACTCAAAGCCAAACCCCTTCCTTCCTCCACGATCCTTTCAGCTGTTGCTGAAAGATGCAGCGCCCCTGGGACAGTCCATGAACTTCTAACTCAAGGCATTCGCTGTTGCAGGTCAAGTCACCATGTGGACCTGGTGTGGATCTGATCCCCCACTGCAGCAGGGAGGGTCACGAGGCCTCTTGGGGCTGCTCACAGCCTTATTCCCATTTCTCAGGGCAAACCCAAACCTCGAGCCACCTGGACACATGATGGCTGTGCCTTGGACGCCAGCCGTGTGAGTGTGCGGAATGGGGAGCGGGACTCCATCCTCTTCATCCGAGAAGCCCAACGTGCTGACTCGGGCCGCTACCAGCTCAGCGTGCGGCTGGGCGAGCTGGAGGCCACTGCCACCATTGACATCCTGGTGATTGGTACAGTAGGGGGCCTGGGAGAGAGGTGGTCCTCGGGCCTAAGGGGAGCCATCACAGACAGCTGGGGAGGCCAGGGTGACTCTCCACACCGAGTGTGGGGCACAGTGGTGGGTGAGGGGAGGCACAGCTGAGCAGAGAAGGGGAAGGGCACCCCTGAAGTGATTTCCATGCAGATGTGAGCCGTACCCCACCTACTGCCATGCTTGGCCCTTTCAGAGAGGCCAGGCCCTCCTCAGAGTATCAAGTTGGTGGACGTTTGGGGCTCCAATGCTACTCTAGAGTGGACACCTCCCCACGACACAGGCAATGCGGCACTCCTGGGATACACGGTGCAGAAGGCTGACACAAAATCTGGGGTGAGCCCGCTGGGAGGGAGCAGGGTGGGAGGAATCACACCTTCTGGAATGGAATGGGGCTCTGCTACCTCCATGCGGTGGGCCAAGGTGGACCGAGTTCACAAAACAGGCACCTCATTCATGGCATCTTCTTGGGCCCCCGAAGCTGTGGTTCACGGTGCTGGAACGTTATCACCGCACCAGCTTCACAGTCTCCGACCTCATCGTGGGCAACTCCTACGAATTTCGAGTCTTTGCTGAGAACCAGTGTGGGCTCAGTGAGACAGCCCCCGTCACTGCTGAGCTTGCCCACATCCAGAAAGCAGGTGGGGCGCGGAGACCCGGAGCTGGGAAGGGTGGAGTGTGGAGAGGTGACGAGGGGTAGGGGATCTCAGGCACTACAGCAGGGCCCTTCTCGGTCTCCTCAGCTCCCGTTTGGAAGACTGAGGGGTTTGCACAGCGAGATTTCTCTGAAGCTCCGAAGTTCACCCAGCCTCTGGCAGACTGCACCACAGTCATGGGCTATGACACCCAGCTCTTCTGCTGCGTCCGCGCCTCTCCCAAGGTAATCGGGGTGGCTGTGCCGTGCTGCTCCCTGCTCCTGCCCTAACCTTCACTATGTGGGAGAGCATTCTAAAACAGCTGTTCCCATCACCATCGCCCACCTCTTCCACGGCGGTTTACGTAGGGTAGGAACGGTCAGGGTGCTTACAGTCCAAGACAGGCTGATGTGGATGATGTTTCCAGTTTTCCTTTTAGTGTTTGCTCCTCGTCCATGAAGATATCACTTACCGACCTGCTGGCAATTGGGCATGAGCTTCAAGTTGTCTCCCTGGCAGAAGTGATGGAGTCCCACTGGGTTCTCCTTAGTCACCCACTACGCCTCACCTGCTCAGGGCCATATGTGTGCCAACTGTCTCGAGTCGAGGCCATAACCCTGAGCAAGTCTACTTCCAATCATGTCTCTAATTCTGTTGTACACTCAACTGCATAAAACATCACTAACACCCTTACCTAGGGGGCACCTGGGTGGCTCAGTCAGTTAAGAGTCTGACTTTAGCTGACAGCTCAGAGCTTAGAGCCTGCTTCAGATTCTGTGTCTCCCTCTCTCTCTGTCCATTTCTGCTCGCTCTTTCTCTGTCTCTGTCTCTCTCTCAAGAATAAATAAACATTAAAAGAAAATTTTTAAAGCCCTAAAAACCTTACCAAGTACCTTTCACATATGAGTCTAGGCCAGACTATGTGGAGATAACATGTCAGAAAGAGAATATCAATAAGTCCACTCTAGAAACTACTTTCTAACCAGAGGGGACAACAGTGACTCCCTAGCCAACAGTGGGAACAGAATATGAATGATTCAACAATGTAGATACAAAAAAGAGGGGATTCTGAGGCCCAGTGCCTAGGAAGGGGCTGCTTGAGCGGGGACAGAATTGAAGGTCCTACCTTTTTTCTAATCAGGAATACTTGATGAACGAGGCAAGGTTTCAGGTGCTCATTTCAACCAATAGAAGGAACAAGGGAGGATTCTGAGGATACTAGAAAGAGACCCCTCCCCAAATGTAAAGAATGGGGAGCCCTCTCACTGCTCCTATGGTGGCCCCCTCATCTTTATCTTGCAGCCGAAGATCATCTGGCTGAAGAACAAGGTGGATATCCAAGGTAACCCCAAGTACAGAGCCCTCACTCACCTGGGAATCTGCTCTCTTGAAATCCGCAAGCCTGGTCCCTTTGACGGGGGCATCTACACCTGCAAGGCGGTTAACCCCCTGGGGGAGGCATCTGTGGACTGTCGGGTGGATGTGAAAGGTAAGGGCAGAACTCATACCCTTTCTCCACAGCTGGAAAATCCAGGGGCACAGCCACAGCCTGCATGGAGAAGGGCTTGGATGGCTTCCTCTTCAGGTTCTCTCTGCACTGGGCACCATCACCATCAGGATATATTTGGGGAGCCGTTTTTATTATCCAGTATCTTATTTCTCTCCAACACAATTTTGTAATATAGGAAGAATGGCTATTCCCAGTCTGCAAAGGAGAAGCCTGAAGCACAAGGTGGTGATCGGCTCCCGCTAGATTCCCAGTACTGGTTACATGAGGATTCCACTGTGGTGGAAAGAGCCCAAGCCTTTTCTTACTCAGATCGTTTTTCTTTTATACAGTCTTCGACCCAGTCCAAGAAGCAGAGAGAGAGAGAGAATCCCAAGCAGGATCCAGGCTCAGTGTAGAGCCCAATGTGGGGCTTGATCTCAGGATCATGAGATTGTAACCTGAACCAAAATCAAGAATCAGACACTTAACCGACTAAGCCACCCAGGCACCCCACCCACACCTGTTTTAAAGTATTCATTTATTTATCTCTGCCTGTCACCTTGTTCAGATCTCCATCATTCCATTTAACATATTGCTAATATAAGTGCCTATTTACTGATTTGTTTCTCATTTAAACCATGAGCACTGCGAGGGCAGGTACAGTCTGATTCACACTTGTCCCCCTGGTGTTGAGCCCAGTTTCTAACACACAGTGGGCACTCTCTAAGCGTGCACAGCATGAATCAGGAATGAATGGACCATTACATGCCCTATTCCTCCCCATGAGTAGACTCCTAATTAGCATAATGGGCTCTCAAAAATCATGAGAAGTATATGCCTTCCTAATGCCCCGCAAGAGGGTTTCCCAGAAATTTCTGAGATGTTAACTCTGAGAAATGTCTGAATTCTTGCAGTTCCCCATTGAGGCTTCCAAAGAGGATTAGGGCAACTCTGACAAAGGTAAGGAAAGGGACTGGGCTTCTGAATAGAGCATTTCCTCTTTACAGTTAGTGTTGAGTCTGGGACAGATATCTATTCCTAACTAAGCCCTTCAACCATGCAGTCATTGGTAACTATTTTCCTTGTAAACACTTGTTTTGCAAGCTAATCTTATCATCTCCACGGAAGGACTTTACCGTAGATGGTACTACTTTTGGCATGTCCTCTGTCTGTCCTCAAGCTGATGACAGGTGTTAAATCTAATGGTCCTCTGAAAAGGAGTGATAGCATCTGTCTAAGTGTAGGGGGCTCTGTGGAAGGGGGGTGGGCAGGTGCTGTAAGAAGAGACGTCAAGGGAACAGTCAGGAGTAGAGGATGGAAGTGGGTCATCACCACCAAGTGGCAGCAGCTTGGAAAAAGACACAAGAAGTCGCTCCTGCCAACTCTTTCTACCTCAGTGTCATGAGCATGGTAAGGAAACAGATTCGTTTGCCTGTCTTTTACTTTGAAGTGTATGGATTCCTTCCCTTCTGAGAGAAGAAAACCACCATTATCATCATTTGTCAATAATAGTTGAACACATGGGTATGTGGTCCCAAGCAGCACATTACTAGCAAAGGACAACTCAGATCATCATTTAAAATTTGATAGCTTCCTCAGATTCTAAATCACAGTAGAAATGCTGTACATGAACTGATGAGTGGAGTGAAAGGGCAACTCATGGGAGAATGAGGGAGAATCAGTTCCCAATGTCTCGTGGGACTTGCAGTTCCTGGCTGATGAAAACTGAGGATGAATACCATCCCAGGAGCCATTTATTTGAACCCATCATTGATATAGAGCAAATGAAAACCTTCAGGGTTGCATTAAAAGTACAGACTTCTCAGGAGAGCTCTCTCTGCCAGCTGGCTTGCAAAGATAGTCCTCTGGCCATCCCTCGTTCCCTCTCTGTGTTAATGTAACGTCATGTTGTGTCAGAACTTGCCCTGTAACCTCTCTCTCAGCTGGCACACAGTCACAAAGCCTGGTAAGTAGAGAATTCACAGCCCAGGAGCCAGGGGCCGTGACGAGGAGTGCCTCCGCGTCCTAGGTGTGCACTGTGTTAGAGCTGCAACATACCCTCTCTTTTCTGTGTCTCCAGGAAGCCTGATAGTGGTGAGATTGTGTTCGTAAGGAGCTCCAGCAACAGCATCTGCTTTGGGACGAATCTAAATAAATATGTGGATCCTCAGTGCATTAAGTGTCCATCTGTTTGAGCCTTTCTATATGGGAAAACCATTTAGAAAGCTGGAATCCTTTTTTCAAAATTGTTTGTTTGTTTGTTTGTTTATGTAGAGAGTGTATGTGCAAACAGGGGAGGGGCAAAGAGAAAGGGGGAGAGATTGAGAGACTCTCAAGCAGGCTCCTCACTGTCAGCACAGAGACAGGGCTCAGTGTCACGAATCGTGAGATCATGACCTGAGCTGACATCAAGCATTAGACATTTACCCGACTGAGCCACCCAGGTTCCCCCTCCTCTTTCCTCTTATATCCACATCCTCTTCCACAGAGGTTTCTAACATTGTCCCTTTGTCTGGAGTCTGTGACAGAGCCAAGTTCAGCTCTATCCTGTGCCTGGTGCTGAAAGAGATGCCGAACACGACTTACTCCCTTCCTCTCCTATCTTTCCAGTATAAGCTAGAAAAGAGGATGCATCTCCATCACAGAGACTCAGACCACAGAACACACATATATAGGTACATTGCTAATTAAAGACAGAGCACTAAGACTTCAGGGCTGGGAGACACTGAAGATATTGGAGCAGAGTCTCGTGAAGCCCTGGGGAGAGAATAAAGGTGCGGTGCCCTTGCTTATATGTTTGCTTTCATTCTTATAACAAGTGACATATTAAAGGCATTCTATGATGGAATCTGCAAAAGACAGCAACCGTTTCCCCCCTCCTGGCTAGCAAGGGCATCGTGCTCTTCCCACTAAGAGCTGGGGGTCTATTCCCCCTCCCCTTGCATCTGGGCTGATCTGTGACCTGCTTTAACCAAAAGAACATAGTGGGGGTGCTGCTGTGCCAGTCTGGGCCTACACCCTAAGAGGTCTTGTAGTTGAGTCTCAGGACAGACTACCAGATTATGAGAGGCCACAAGCAGGACAGCCCAGCATCCCAGCTGGCAGCCAGCACCACAGCCCTAGATATGTGTGGCCATCTGAGACTGTTCAGTCCCTATTCAAGCCCCATCCACTCCCCGTGTCGTAGAGAGACACGCCTACACCTGGCACAAGCTTGTCCAAATTGTAAAATCATGAGATCTGGTGTTTTGAGCCACTGCACACTGGGGTAGTTTGTTACACAGTAGCACGTAACTGAAACAGCCTTCTCTGCATCAGATGCTGAACGTCCGGCTTTATCACTTTTAAGCTCTATTTTCTAAATGAGGAAGTTGAAGTTCATAAGTTGCTCCAAGTCATGCAGCCGGTAAGTAGCAGAGCTAGGATTTGAACCAGGGCTGCCCGACTTCAAGCCTTCTCTCTTTCCTCTCTTCTCTTTCACCCAGCGACCCTCACTGTAGCGCGTCTGGGTTGGGATCAGGGGTTTTAAGAAAGAAAAGATTGCTAGGAGACAGTAAATCTTAGGCAAGGCTTTGAAGAGGAGGAGGGTGTGTTTCGGCTGAGAAAACTGAGAAGGGCTTTTCTGTTGACACCAAAGGTCTATTTTCAGCTGAGGCAAAATGTCTATTCCAGCCTTTCTCAACTAGAGCACTATGAGAATTAAGCCCCGATGCCCCCGAGGCATCCATTATGTCATAATTAACATTTTCTATGCATCCAGAATGTCTCTAGTCATGTAGCATCTTGAGAAAACTGAGAAAGTAGCCACACAAATTATTTGTAGGGTCAAATGCCCTTGGGGGACCCTCCCTGCTGCAAATGCCGGGTTGGGAGAGAAGTGGACCAGAGTCCAGAGCCAGCTAGTCAGGGACACAATGGCCAGGAGGCCTTCCTCCAGCTGAAGCAGGGCCAAGGTCAGGACACCCAGCTACGATGCCCTAAGGATCAGTTAGACCGCTGGCCTCAGCCCAGCCTCTGCCGTCAAAGTACTCAAGGTTCATATACACTGAACCTTCATGGTGAGGGAATAAAATCTTCATACTGAACAAGACTTCCAGTCACAGCTAATCTTTCCACATTCAAGAAGAACTACAATGGAATCCTTAATTTTGTCATTTATGCACTCAACACTATGGAGTTCCTTCTGAAGGGAGGCCTACCACGTGCCAGGGAGGCGGTGTAATCTCTTCATTAATTCATCTATTCATTATTTATCCAAAAGCTTGAACATCTGTTCATATGTATCATTTTGGAGGGCAGGCTGAGGGGGACAAATAATTCCCAGATTAGTAGCCTTAGGCTGAGTAACGAATTCTTGTGCCTGAAATCTGTATTTTCTGGTTTCGTTGTTATTCTGAGGGAGGAGAAAGTAATTCTATTGCTTTTCCGCTGGTACTGCAACAGCTTTCAAAATCATAACCGGGAAACAGGACATTGGAGAGGAGTTTCCATAGGAGAAGCTAACTTCCAACTTGCTAAAACTGCCTCCCCCATTCACCTGAGGTTGGGTGAAGAAGCAAGTGCGGGGTCTCCCCAGTCAGGCTGCTCCTAGGCCCAGCAAGAATGCAGTTAATGAACAGGTCTTTCCCTTCTTTCGTCGCTTTGTCACCACCTGCCTGGAGAGAGGGAAGCTACAGGCTCTGGTCTTCCCACCTCCACAGAACCTGAATCCTACAGGCAACCAAAATTCCACCCTCACCCACAAGCCTACGGAAAACCAGGCAATCCTGTTCTCTCAGCTTTTTTTCACACAAACCTGCAAGTTCTGGGCCGGCCCCCACCTCTGCCTTCGCACCCCCACTGAATCCCAAGGCTCCTTCGCTTGTTGCATTTCTTACAGTAACATGTCAGGCCTGCAAATCTCATCACCTCAGCTTCACAGCTAAAAACTAGAAGGTAAACAAAACAAACAAACAAGCCTATAAATAGCCAAAAGAATGGTCATGAACTCCGGAGACTAAAGCTCTCCAGTCATTCTTTTAAATTTTTAGAACATTTCTATGAAGCCCTGTTACCTGGTGGCCCAGCCTATTCACAGGCAACATTTGGAAACAACGAAAAGAAGATCTCTAATAAGTAGGCGTAAGCACTTTACAAACACAGCTTTTAGTTTAGAGGCAGCAAGTTACACACCACCCTCTTGCCCCTAAGGCACATGGTATAAACTTGAGGCTGGTAGTTCTCCTCCTAACCATGAAACCTGACTGACGGTCAGGGTCTTCGCTCCGTAGATAAGCTAAGGTCAAATATACTCAAGCCTGCCTGCCTTGTGACAGAGGAGTCATGGTTGAATTGGACCCAATTCTCTGTGTCCAAAAAACCTTAGTTTATAACTCAGCTACCTCCGGCTCCAAATGTTGTCACTTAAAATGACAGAAGATGTACTTCTTAGAGAACCTCAATATATCTAAATGATGACTGGATAAAGAAGATGTGTTATCGATGGAATATTACGTGGCTATCAAAAAGAAGAAAATCTTACAATATGCAACAATGTAGATGGAACAAGAATGTATTATGCTAAGCGAAATTATTCAGTCAGAGAAAGACAAATGTATGATTTCACTCATGTGGAATTTAAGAAACAAAACAGATGAACATATGGGAAAGGAAGGAAAAATAAGATAAAAACAGAGAGGCAGGCAAGCCAAGAGACTGTTAAATACAGAGAACAAACTGAGGGCTGCTGGACGGGTATGGGGGGATGGGCTAAATGGCCAATGGGCATTGAAGAGGGCACTCGTTAGGATGAGCCCTGGGTGTTATATGTACGTGAAGAATTACTAAATTCTACTCCTGAAACCATTATTACTATATATGCAAACTTGTATTTAAAAAAAAAAAAGATGATGGAAGATGCACTTCTTAGAGTACAATAAACCTAAAATATAAACGCCTAGGTGCTTACATAACTTGGAAAAATCACAAATGAGGAAATGTGGCAACTGCGGTGCTCCCAAACGGAGTAAGCCCGTGAAAAATTTCCTCTGGGAAATTTGAGCGTTAGGCTCAGGGTGGCGCGCGCATGGAGGTCCAGCAGGGAGCTGGCTCCGCCCAGCTGGTCGAGGGGGCGGTGAAGAGGGCGTCGGCACGGTGCGAAATCTACAGTCATTGGCCAGGTTCCTCGCGCGCCGCCATGAGGCCCCGCCTCCTTCGAGGAAAATTCTCCCGGGCACACGCGCGCGCTCCCGGCCTCCCAGCTTTAGCCCTCCGGATGAAGTCTTTTTTAGAACAGCTCTCTACACAGCCCCCACCTGCAGACTTCCGGCCGCTGCTCGCCACCGCCCCGCCTCCGAGGGCAGGGATGTTGGGATCCACCAATCACGGAGCGCATGTGGTAGGAGTGGGTGGGGCCTGAGAGATTCGAAAGGAGCCCCACCCCCTCAGGGCTGATTCCCGGGACTGAGTGGTGGGAGGCAGGCACCTTCTGCGGGAGGTGAGGTGGGGCGGATAGTAAAAACAGAGGGGGAGCTAGAGGTGTGGTGTGGGTGTGGTGTCGTGTGAGTGGAAAGGTGGTCGGGGGAGAGAAAGAACCGGAGGATGGTGGCGAGCAAGAAGATGGGGCGCGCAGACCGCCGCCGGGAAGAGCCCAGGTTGTATGGCGGGGGGCGGCAGGGCAACCTGAGGAGGGGGATGGTGCTTTCTCTGCTCCTTCCCCGGAAGTCACAGGATAGTTACAGGGGCAGGTGCTACTCCTGGGACCCTTGCTTTGCCTCCAGCATGATCCCCACCCCCTGGCTTGCACCCTGAGTCTAGCTGGGGGCGCTGAGCAGGATGGAGACCTGAAGGAAGGTATATTTTCTCTCCAGCTCGGGTCTAAGCTGACTAGTGCGCCTGCTGGCTGGAACATGGAGGATTTGGAGGAAGGTAAGGAAAGGAAGGAGGGAAGACTGAGGCGCTGCGATTGAGAGGGTGTTAGGGACCCGAGGCTGGCATTCCTTCTTCCTCCCCTACAGATGTAAAGTTCATAGTGGATGAGACCTTGGACTTTGGAGGGCTGTCGCCATCTGACAGGTACCAGCCTCTTTAACCTACTTGCTTTCCTCCAACAGTGCCTGTCTGGCCCCTTAGTGCTGAATTATAGGCCTCTGGGGTCTGGGTTGGAAATTCACCAAGGTTGGGTGCCCTGGAGCTGCTGGCTGACTTGTTGACATGGGCCCCTGTGACACTTTTGGGGGAGGGGGAAAGGGATAAGCTGGAATTGGGATTTCAGGATGTTAAGAAGAAGGGTAAGTGGATTTGCTGCCTCCGCATCCTGGCATGATTTCCAACGTCGATAAGCGCTAAAGGCCCTGTGAGGCCTCATCAAACCAGGCATCTCATCACCTAGAGGCCAGGTCCCACAGCCAGCATGGGCTTCCGGGTTTGGGGTTGTGCCCCTGGCTCTGTTGTGGGGGAGCTGCCCAGGCTCCTTCACAGTCTCCTGCTCTCTTCTGGGTGGGCATGGTGCCTGGTTTGTTTTCTGTCTCAGCCGTGAGGAGGAGGACATAGCAGTGCCGGTGACTCCGGAAAAACCCCTCCGAAGAGGACTGTCCAATCGAAGCAACCCAAACGCAGTGGCCCCGGCCCCCCAGGGGCTGCGGCTCAGCTTGGGCCCCCTTAGTCCAGAGAAGCTGGAGGAGATTCTCCACGAGGCCAACCGGCTGGCAGTTCAGCTGGAGCAGTGTGCCCTGCGGGAGCAGCAGGGCACGGGCGAGGGCCTGGGGCCCCGCAGGGTGAAGCCCAGCCCCCGGCGGGAGACCTTTGTGCTGAAGGACAGTCCTGTCCGAGACCTGCTGCCCACCGTGAGTTCTGTGACTCAGAGCACCCCCTCCCCAAGCAGCCTGACGCCCCGACTCCGGAGCGGCGATAAGAAGGGGTCCGTCAGGGCCCTCCGGGCGGCATCTGGGAAGAGGCCCAGTAGCGTGAAAAGGGTGAGTTTGGAGGGTCTGGGTTGGACGTGTGGCCTCAAACACGTTGTGGGACTCAGGACAGCCATAGAGTGGCTTCCTCGTTGGTAAAATGGGGATAGCAAAATTCTACCTCCGAATTGTTGGAATTGAGCAAAATACCATAAGCAAAGCACTTAGCACAGCGTCTGTAATAAGGGTCTAGAATAAACTCATAATAAATGAGGATTATTGGTGAGGATGACGATGTTGGCCACGAGCGCCTGCCCTTCCTTACTGGGATCTAGGCAGCTCTCCACCTCTATCCCTCAAACAGCCAGCAGAACAGATTCTCCTTCCATTCTAGTCCTATTTTTTCTCTCTTTGTATTTCAGGAGTCACCCACTTGCAATCTGTTGCCCGCATCCAAAAGCCCAGCATCTTCTCCTCTCGCCCGATCCGCTCCTCCAGTCCGGGGCAAAGCTGGGCCCGGTGGGAGGGCAACAGCAAGTGAGAAGACTTGGGCAGCAAAACTGTGGGCGAATGGGAGGAGGAAGGGCGTGGAGCTGGCCCTAAAATTCCTCTACTCGTCTCCACCAGGCCCGCCTACCCCTGTTAGACCGGTCTTGGCCCCACAGCCTCCTGCCGGCAACTCTCAGCGCCTCTCTCGGCCACAGGGAGCAGCTGCTAAGCCTTCCAGTCGGCTTCCAGTTCCTTCTGCCATCCCCAGGCCTGCCAGCCGAATGCCACTCACCGGCCGGAGCGTACCAGCCAGCAAAGGTGCCCTGCCTCCAGCTTCTCTGCCACCTCGGAAAGGACTTCCGCGACCAAGTGCTGTAGGGCACAGAGGTGAGAAGAGTGGGCGTAACGACTGGCAGTCAGGGGGAAGAATGCCTACCCTTGCCCAGCTTGATTGCACCCTCCCTCCCAGAGCTGGGAACAGTGACTCCTTTCTCCATCTTCATTACAGCTCAGTTTGAACATGGGGAGACTGAGTTAAGGAGAGATGTGGGCCCCGGCAAAGAGTCTGAGCTGTGGTTTTCAAATATCTTCTGTTTTTGAACCTTGGGTGGGAAGAAAGGCACTAATCCCAGACTCACTGGGGGAAGGGCACTTGAACTTCTGCTCACTTCTTTCTTTTGTTAACCCCCATCAAGTTCCTGTTTCCCAGCGGCCCAGTCTTCCCATCACTGGTGCCACTCGCAGCAGTCTGCAGCCCCCCAGGAAAGTGGCCGTCCCGGGACCCACCAGGTGAGCCTGGTTGAGGTGCTCTCTCTCTCTCTCTCTCTCTCTCTCTCCTGTCACCAGCTTCCAAACTGTTATACCCACCAGCCCTGAATCCTGTGTGGCAAGATGGGGATGAGGAGGGGAGCCTAGAGGGCCAGGGAGACCCATTTCTTCCTTTCCTGAGGAACTTAAACTCAGCTGGGGGACAAATGGGCTTGAGGAAGAGGGGCAGTTTAAGTTTTGTTTTCCTTTTTTTGTTTTTTTGAGAGAAAAAGAGCAGGGGAGAGGGGCAGAGGGAGAGAGAGAATCTTAAGTAGGCTTCATGCTTAGCGCACAACCCAACTGACTCGGGGCTCGATCCCACAACCCTGGGATCATGACCTGAGCTGAAATCAAGAGTCGGACGCTCAACCAACTGAGCCACCCAGGCGCCCCAGAAGAGGAACAGTTTAAAGCAGTTCTTCCTTCTGATTCTTTAGGTAAAGAGATCAGGACAGCAAGCAGAAATTCAGGAGCAAACCACTACAGTCACTGCCTGGACTCACCTCTACTCAACCTCCCAAGCCCTCTCATGGAAGGCAGGCCCTGACTCCAGGCCCCGGAGCGGGAGGAAGAGAGGCCACCAGGGCTGGTGCCCCAGCAGTGAAGAGGGGTGGATTAGGGTTGAGCTGGAGGAGACTCAAACTCTGTGGGTTGAAAGAGGATTAGGGAAAAGAGGTCACCTCCCCCACAGCGAAATTAACGAGCAGAAAATGAGAAATACAGGAGAGTGGTTTGTCCTCATCCACCCCCACTCTTGTGTTCGGTCCCAGAGAGTTTGATCTTCTTCCCAGGCATTGGTTCACTGGACATTTACATGTGAATGGCCTCCGTGGCTAACCTCCCTGCTCTCCGAGGAACAGTCCTGAATCACATCCTCTACTGGACGCTGGCCTGTTTGGAGAGGCAGAGGCAGGCACCTGGTCTCTACAACTTATTTCCTGTGAATTCTGTGACTCTTAAGAGGCCAGTTTCCGATAAGCTTACATCGGTCTGCGTTTTTCTAAAATAAAACGAATGTATTTTTATAATTCGTGTATATGTGAAAGTAAATTCTCCAATTTCAAACAAATACGCAGTCAACTCCTGTGTTATTCCAATGAGGGAGCCGGGAGGGGCGTCCCAGGCAGAGGCCTCAATAGGCTCTTGTGATTGCAGCTCATCGGGCTGTGTGACTACCCGATCTCCTTTTGTTGGCATCAGATGGGAGCAAGCTGCCTTTTCCCGGGATTCGTGTGTTACTGGGAAGTCCAGATCAAGGAAAATATCGCTTAATTTGCACTACGTGAGGTTATCGAGGCAGGGTCTTGGTCGATTATTTATATCCTAAGCTTGGGTGTCCTTTTCTGGCAAAAGAATGAAACCTCCTTTTTGTTTAAGTTAATTTTATTTATTTTGAAAGAGCAAGAGAGTACGAGTGAGGGAGGGGCAGAGAGAGAGGGCGAGAGAATCCCAAGCAGGTTCCAATCTGTCAGTGAAGAGCCCAACGCGGGGCTTGAATCTTCAAACGAGATCATGACCTGAGCCAAAATCGAGTTGGACACTTAACCAACTGAGCCACCTGGGCACCCTGACAATGGAACCTTCCAGGAACGCCTCATCATCTAGTGTGCTGTACTGATGAGATGAGGGGAATCTTTGGTGGGTACCCTGGTATTCAGTTTCACTGGCTGCTTCAGTAGAAGATACTGGAACACCTTGTCCCATTCTGCCTTAATATCATTAGAGTCGATGTTCTCTTTTTATGTCCCCTCCTCGGCTTGAGGGCTGGCACTAGGTTTTAGAAATTTCTGCAGTGCCTAGTGTTGTGATTTGTATGTGGCAGAGAATTTCATTCATATATTGAAAAAATAAATTTGAGTGCAAGGTGGTGGGGGTTTGTTGAATGAATGACAGGCTCATTTAGCAGATTTCGCTAAGCCTTGACTCTTGCAACCAGAACCAATTCAATTCCTTGTGAGTTTTGAGAGAACTTCCCTCTTGGAAGGCTTAGACTTACGGAAGTCTATTGTGACTTACGGAACCCAATAGACAACTGGGCAGAGGGAGCGGATCATCAGCTGGTGTCCCTTGCCCCCCACATACATATGACCATAAGCACCCTACATAGGCACTGAAATGTCCTTTCCCAGACAGAGGCCTTCCACTGCCGTCTTCTCCTTTTTATGGCCGATCTTAAAGTTCACGTAACACATTTCACTTATATCACAGTGACAGCTGCCTACATGTTCACCCCTCTCCCAGAGCCTCTGTCAGCAACTCCTACAGCCTCTGGGATTCCAAGAATTGAGTTGGGGGAGGGGAGGTGGAAAGACAATGGAGTATTTGGCTCTGGAGAAATCTGGCAGAGGCCAGAAAACCTGAGGCGTGTTCCCCAGCCGTGTCCTGCACTGGGGTCTGGCGAGCAGGGCCTGTTGGTGACTCCAGGCTCTGGCTGGAGGGTCAGCATGCCCAGGCAAGCACTTAGGTGCGGCCAGCAGATGGCACGTGTGTGTGGCTTGGGAGACAAAACCAGCAACAGACACGTGTGCTGTTGCCACCTGGTGGCCGAAAAGGACAAGGCACATTCCTTTTGCTCTCTTGGTCAGTCTTGAATTTTGTGACACCCACCCCAAACCGGCTTAAGCAACATTCAGTAGACAGTGCCAGCCAGGGAGGAGGGCGACCCGCCACATGCTGCCCTTCTTGTTCAGCTACCTGCTTCCCTCCTTCCCTTTGGGTCTGGCTTTCTAGTTTTCTCTTGCGCTCTAACCCCACCCCGACCCAGTAGCAACAATGAAGGAAGCCAACGTTTAGCAGCCTCTTATTATGCACTATGAACTGTTCTAAGCACTTTACATGTGCTAACTCATTTAATTCTCATAAAAGCTCAATTAGGCGGATGCTCTTATCATCCTCATTTTGCAGGCAAAGAAACTAAGGCTCAGAGAGATTAAGCCACTCAGTCTGGTTCTGGGGCTCGTGCTCTTAATCATTACCCTCTATTGCCCCCATGTTAACTCCCTGACTAGTTTGCTGAACAGACCTTGGAAGAAAAATACAAACTTTAGGAATAGAAGTAAGGTTGCAGAGCACATAGTTGGCTTGAGTATGAATTGTTGCTTCATTTTCAGTGGCAAAACACACAAAATGGCCCAGAGAAGTGGTCAGGAGGTACCTAGTCACTGAGCTTTGAATTCCTACCAGCCACTCAACTCTGGCCTCCCTGCCTCCCGAATTCTGTCCCCAGGACTCAGCCCCTCAGGGGACTGGAAACCTGCCTGCTCTTTGCAGCCTCTCCAGCCACACAAGTCCCTCGTATCCCGGTGAAAAGGAAACTTCCCTGCCACCTGCCGCATCTTCTTGGATGCGCCAGGACATGGGCTCCGTGCTGATGAGGCTGTTTAGCTACTTCTGGGGTGCTGGTAGAGGGGTTAGCTCATCGGCCGCTTGACATCTGAGTCCCCTGGTGTCCCCTGGCCCACCCAGGGCTCCGCCTGCTCTTGTTTTCCAGAGCCGCTCTCTGGAAGGCCAGGGTACCACCACACAGAAGCACATGATGACAGAGCTCAACCCGCACAGAGCTATAGTTTATTCAGTAGTATGGGGAAATGAAAAACAAACAAACAAACACAAAACCCTACTGTATTTACAGTAACAATTAAACTGTACAATCTGATGGTTAGTATCAAGTTAGCATCCAGCATCTTTGTATTTTTTAAGTCAAGTCATCAGTAGTTAAAAACCAGTTACATTTTTAACCCTTTGCAGGAATTGCTGAGGGGAGAGGTCAGGGGGAGAATCCACGGCATAAAAGCCAAACACCAGGCTTACGAATGAGAAACAGGAACATTTTCCCCCCACCCGTAGCCTCTTTTTCTAGCCACCTGCTCCAGAGGAAAGTCAGTGACAAGTCAGGAATACATGCTTAGCATAAACGGTAACTCAAATGAATTGCAGTTGGCAAAACTGAGGAGGCCCTGGGAGAGGAGGCAGGAGATGACAGCCTGGAGCGAGGGGAAGGGCCTCAGGCCCCCACGCCAGGATTGCTGGGTACACACCCACCCCGTCACGGCCACATCGGACCCCCTGGGACCGGACACGACCCCATCCCGACACAAAAAGCAAATAAATAAAATATATATTAACTCTCTCTTCGCAGGGAGCTGGGGTGGGCGTGGGAGAGGGGCAGAAAGAGGAACAGGACCTGGTCCTTTGAAGAAGAGAGCCAATTCCAAGAAGGGGTTAAAAACAGAACATGTCTCAGGCCACAGCAGGTCAGACAAAGTGGGGTTCGTCTGATCTGGGGGGTGGGTGGGTGAGTGGACACCAGAACCCAGGCTTGAGACCTGTGCTTGAGACTTCTGGTGGCGACCGAGCCAGCCCTGCATTTACTCCTCCTCCCCCGTCCCACCCACACCGCAGCAAAGAAGCGCAACTTAACACATGACTGGCCTTCCCCACGCGGGTCAGGCAGGGAAATGAAGCACTTTTGGGTCAGCGAACTGAGCAGACACCTGGGCTGCAGCGCGCGGCCAGAGTCCAGGGAAAGGAGAGGGGCTGGGGTGGCCCGGCCGCCGCCCAGGGGCACGGGTTCCCCTCAAAATGTGTTCATGCAGCATTTGGGGGTCCGGGGGCGCGGAGTCCTTCTGCCCCCTTGCCGGACAGGGCTCTTTCAGTTCCTGGGCGGGGCGGCACAGGCGGGGTGAGGAGTGCCCTCCACCTTGACGCCCTCGCCATACTGAGGCCTGCCGGGGTGCAGCCTGCAGGGCTCGATGCCCTTGGGCGTGTGTGGCTTTGTCCTTTCCTTTTGGTGATGGCAAATGAGGGGCGGGCCCCCCAAAAGTCCCTCTCCTCCCAGAGGCACAGCAGATGGGAAACTGAGGAGAGGCTGGGAAGTATCCTGGGAGGTCCTATCCTCTTTGGGAAGGGAAAGGGGAGTCAGTTTCCAGCATATAAAAAAAATTAATCCCTGAAGTCATGAAGAGTGGAGATCCTTTTTTAAATTCTTTTTTCCTCTTTTCTGAAAAACTTTGTCTTGGAGATGTTGGCCCCAGGGGTCCAAAGTGCAGTGAAGGGGATGGTGGGGGAGGGAGTTGGCACTAGATGGCCTTGGGTGGGGTGGGCGCCCCTCCCGGCAAGGCCCAGGCTCCTCAGATGGACGTTTCGTCGCTGCTGCGGGCAGGCGGTGGGGAGCGAGAGCAGGATAGAGCACAAGACAGGAGTGGGGGCATGAGTGCAGCTGGGGAAGGTAGGGGAGCCGCAGGGTGTAGGAACCACCGGCCCAGGGTTAATGCAGGAAGTTAAAGAAGAGAAATCTGGAGAGGCAGGAAAGGAAAGTGACAGAGAAGGCAGACAGGGGGTTAGTCGGAGCAGAGAAGACAGGGAGAAGCTTCCACCAGGAGAAGGAAACAGAAAAGCAACCCCAGCTCCCCGCCCTCCCTCACTTTGCCCGATGCGGGCTGAGCTGACCCCACGGGGCACCGCGGTCTGTGGGCACGTCACAGTAAGGGAGCTGGGCCACACTGGCCCACGCGTCCCCCGACCGCCTGCCAGAGCAGCCGGGGGAGGCCTGACAGCAGCCGTGAGCCCAGCCAGGGCCTCTAAGGGGCTGCGCCCGGTCCCGCCCAGCCAGCCCCACTCACTCGGAGCCCGACGAGTCCTCGTCCACTGTGCCCGCCTTGATACTCATGGCGATGGGCATGACCCCGTTCAGCTGCTCCTGGAGACTCTGCCGGGGTGGAGGGCGGGGAGGGGGCCCGCCCCGGCTGCCCTCGCTGGCCGAGGAGGCCCGAGAAGACCCTGTGCCCTGCTCCAGGGGCAGCCGCAGGAGGCTGCTCTTCTCACTGATGGTGGGCAGACACTTCTTCTTGAGGATGCCTGTGGGGCGGGGCAGGCGCCATGAGGAGCAGGCGGTAGACTCATGGGACTGCCCTAGAGGGACCTATCAGCCACAGGGCAAATGTGAGGTGTGAGGGTGCCTAATGGGGGAGCATGGCAGCTGGGCACGGCCCGCTCACCTTTGTGAGGTTGGGCAGAAGGGCCTGGAAGGGGGCCCAGGGACCCCTCCCGAGGCAGGGCATCTCCATTCTC